AATAAGGGATCAAAATGGCGGAGTTTTCTATCTCCTTTAAAAAGGCACTCAGAAAGCTGCGCAGTGCGACCATCACATACTTTGATTTTCTTTTACTATACGGAGAATGGTCGCACTGCGCAGCTTTCTGAGTGCCTTTTAAAAGGAGATAGAAAACTCCACCATTTTGCACCCTTATTACGTGTTGCCTACATCTTGGCGCAATATTTTTAATAGGTGCGTTTTAATCATCCGCTTCTGCTTCGGAATTGTCGGTTTTCTTGTTTTAATCTGACAGGTTAAAACGACTAAACCGACAATTCCGGAAGCAGAAGCGGATGATTAAAACGCACCTGATATTTTGCTTGCTGCTGTCAGTGTCAGTGAATATTATTTTTGAAGTCACAGTTTATTGCTAAAGAATCAGTTAGCTCACTCGGACCAGTTGAAAGTTGCAAAATAACATCCACTTCAGGGATACAAATTCAGGATACGCAGAAGACTGCTGTTTTATTCTTAGATAATATAATAGCAGATAGGCCACCACTGCATAAAGTTATACAATATTAATGTCGCTATCATATAATCAATATCTCTCTTTCTAATGAAGGCTTTCTCACCCGTTTTAGAATTGTCAGCATTAGCGTACCGTAAAACAATTTCGCTGGGTCATTTTAAATGCGAAAATGTTGACCAAGTAGAATATAAAATAAAATATTTTAAAAGGTAGGTAGGTGCATTTTTAATGAAGTGAAAACAAAATATGACTTTTTTGTTATGAATATAATATTAATAACAATTACTTTTAACACCACAACACGAACAAATTTAAATTAAACACTGGAATAATTGTCTGAGAAAAGCTTTGTCAAACTGACAAATACAAACAAAGAGATAGAGATATTAATATATTTCTCTCTAATTAGAATTCTCGACCATATTATCATGGCGACACAAACATTGTTTACTGTCCTCTCTTGACTACTTACTTACTCTGAGGTTTTATTATAGGCGGTTGTCATATATTGTATTATCCGAGTTGCACGGTGTATAAACTGAAACATTGAGATCAAAAGTGCCGACGCAGAGTGAGCAATCTGATTCTTTAGCTGTAAACTGTGTCACAGGGTTCAAAATGGCCGCGCCCTATGTTGGCCATGTCGGACCTCTCTCTTGCCTCGTATAGTAATCAAAGTATGTGGCGACCATTATCCGTATTAGGCATTCCAAACTGAATGGCTACCAGTGGGTTTTGACGGGTTATGATATAGCAAAATTATGGCAACCCTGTAGGCCTGGTGATTTGACAACGTCAATGAAATAGATAGTTACATAGATTGATCATCCATATTTTTCAAAATAAACATAAGCTTATGCCTTGAAGTAAAAATGTAAGCAATTATTTTTTTTTAATGTCTAAAGGCTAAAAATTAGTTTTAAAACACATTTTTTCTAAACCGATTCAAATTAATAAATATTTGCCAGGCAATATGGCCGTTCGTAAACGACCAGCTTTGAACAATCTATATAACTATATATGTATCATTGACCCTGTTAATGACAACATGACAACAGGGTTGTCATATCTAAACTGTCATTACCCACTGGTAGCCATTTGGACAGGTCGTTGGAATGCCTAATAGTAAAAGAAAATCAAAGTATGTGGTTATTTAATTCGCATTCGCAATGACATTAACGCCACAGACAGATCACTTATTTTGATGAAGTTACAACGTTCCCAAGAGTGGCATTCTTTCTTTCTTTTTATTTGCACATTACAGAATAGAAAATTATTTTTTTATAAATGGGGTTTTAGATTTGGGTTTCATAATGAGCTCATTATGCAACGCAAATCCTTGTCGAAAAGTGCAATTTTATAAAACGTTATTAGCGCCCTTGATTTTTGCTCTGGGAATGTCTTTTTCTCCACTATTTAAGCAAAATCGGTATCTATTAATTTTTTTCGGCCGTAAAATTTTGGGAGCTGAACTTAGGATATTTTTTTTAGAAAGTGAGTTATATTATAATTTCGGACCAAAATCGACAAGCTCGTTTCATAATTTTGTGCTCGGATTTTGTATTTATTCTGTAACACAGCCTATTTTATAGCAATTTTATGCGCACCCTATCTATCTTTCTGTGAATTTTTTTTTCTAGAAATGTATTTTAAAAACGGACTATTTCCAACGCTACTGTGAACTTTGTCTGTGGATTCACAAACTATCTGTAGAGACGGCAACACCGAACCTAAAAACTGGAACTGAATTTAAAATTCGCCAAATATACACACTAGAGAGTTATTGCAAGTTCACTTAAAGTCAATTACTATTAGTGCCGTTCTTATTTTGATATCTGAGCATGCGCAGATTACTTACATTTATAGAACTGACTTTAATAAAGATTGTGCCTGTCCTTAATTGTGGATGTTTAAGGACAGCACTTAGTGGCGACTTTATAGTTTTCGGGTGCGCTCGCCAACATTCGTATCAGTTCGAAGTTTTTTAATATTAAATATTCAATATCATCGTCATCTAAACTTTCTAAAATGGTAATTTCTAATGTCTCTTCCATGTTATATACTATTATAAACAACAAAAAAGATGAACTGTAATTTAAAATTTTTAAAATGAGGTTAGAAATATGTGTAAGGACAAGGACTCTAATGTTAGCATTTCAGGTTTGCAATAAGTCTTATTTTAGCATGGAATTTATTTGCCTCTAATTACGTTGTAAGTATTAGTGGCTGACGTTATAGAAATTTGCAATAACTTTCTAATATTTATTGTTTGCCGTTGTATAAATAGATCGGGAGGTAACTCTGTAATATTTATTGGTTTAGGCAACTATTAGGCATTCCAAACAAATGAATCACCAGTGGGCAGGTTTGGTATATCTAAGGGTGGCGACATATGGTGTATTCTTTCTACTTTACGTAAAATCATGAATAATGGATTACATTTAAATATTTTATGTCAAACACAATAAAAATAATATTTAAAAAACCCATCTATACATTTCTTCATAAATTGGCAGGCTTGGCGAGTACTACTTCGAATAAAAATAGCGTCCAAGTTGCAAGACTATGTCGCTACCCCCCTTAAATAAACAAGAATTTCCCACTGGCACCTATTGTTTGACAGGTCGTTGGAATGCCTAATACATACTTTTCGAGACTGGTGCGCCATCTGGCTTAGAAAATATTGAATATCATGGTCACGGCCAGAGATAAGGGACATAAAGATAGGAAACGCAGCGACCGCAGTAACGATGGCGTCATCTATGCGTATCAGATGTTAACTAAAGGTACACGTCGGTTGTAGACAGACAGTAGACGCGGACAGTTTGTAAATATAAATGTCAGTTAGTTGTATTTATATCGTAGAATCCTGAATTTAAATTTTAAATTTTGAGTTCACGATTGTGTTATCCTCTAGATGAACTAAGCGAAATGGTTGTAGCTGTTTTTGTGTGAAATTTGAAGACAAAAAATATATTTTGTAATATTACAACAAGTCGAAGAACGTATTGCATTTGTAACACATGCCACATGAATAAATGTAACAATCCCAATGTGGTGTTCTTTAATTAACCAAAGTAAGATCTAGTCATGTAAGTTACATAAGTAGTAGCCAACTTTTGTCACAAAGTAGGTATTTATTTACTATTTATTGTTTTAGAGCAAGAAAATCTTTGAGCACATATATGCTCGAAGAAGAAAATGGTTTTAAAACGTTAGAAAGAAGATTTGATATAGCAAGAAAAATACCTGAATTCCTATTATTGAGTTTGCACTCATCACTTTTAAATAAGACACCATTGGCGATTCGTTTGGAAAATAAGAACAAAAATGTTAATGTTACCCATAACGATCAAAAATTAAAAAATATTTGTCATGAATAGATTTAAAATAATTAATCGATAATAGACTGTAAGTGTAGTATTCTTTTTAATAAATAATTTACTGTAATTACATTGTTTAAATTTATTTACCAGAACGTGAGAGTGCAGTCGATATTTATACAACCTTAATTATCTGATTTTTAAATTTCCCGCTGCAATATTTGTTTGATATCGATGACAGCGCCACATAGTGGGTCAGATGTAACTGCGTTAAAGCTAATCGTCATTAAGCATTGGCTTCTTATGAGCGTTTCCTATCTTTATCTCCCTTATCTCTGGTCACAGCATCATGGTATCCAAACATCTCTGCATGGAGACTACACAAGGAGCACGCACTCCATGTATAACAAGCGTACTGTGTTAAACAGAGTATTTTAAGAGGGCGCTAGTGTTCCATAAGTACCAAAATGGCATAAGAGAATGAGGCGGTAGTTTGAAATAAAATAAATAATTCTAATTAATTATTAATTAATTAATTAATTATAACTCTAATTATATTTATTTAATTTAAAAACATTTGACACGTGTTTACGTTAATTAAATAATCGGTTACTTTATTTTCACGCTAACTTCACATTTGTTTATTCCTCTATATTCACACCGGTACAAAAGAAAAATTAGCGACGACAGTGGTGAAAAAAGAAAGCTTTATTTATACGATAAAGCGCGGACATACTCTGGCAAATGCCACACTTGAGTGCGTGCTCCTTGTGTAGTCTCCATGCATCTCTGATCCAAACGTAAAAAAGGACCGTTGAGGGCAGCACCTCTCGGTGCCCTCTGAAATTTTTAAGCAATGTTCAATTTTAGAAAAAACTACTTACTTATATAAATTGTAAATATAAAAGTTGTTCAGTGGCAAATGAAGAATGGCGGATGTTTAACATTTATAAGTATATGACTTTTTATATTTTTTTCATTTTATTTTTTTTATGTTTATAAAAAAAGTTATCATGCGCCAATCTACGATGCATAAAAATTTGAACATTAACATTTCCCATACGGCGGACGAGTATAGAACCCTCTTAATACATCGAGGAAATATTAAACATTTATCTAAGGGCTAATTTCTGATTTTTTATGGGAGCGCATTTATATTTATTTTTTATTAAAAAATTCGTAAATTTGTTAAATTTATTCAATAAAATAAAAAACTAACATTTCTTTTTTTTGCCACCCAGTTGCTTCATTAGTGCTTCTGTCGTGAGGGATTTCGGTCTCTCGATCGGAAAACCTATTCCTCTTGACCAAACTAGCTGGGCTAAGGTACCCATAGCACGGGAAACTCCAAAAAGAACGGTATAATATGACATTTGCGTAAGTCCATAATATTGTAAAAGTACTCCAGAATGTGCATCTACATTTGGCCAAGGATTTGCAACTTTTCCCAATTCTTTAAGTATGGGTGGTACAACTTTATAAATTGCAGATACTAGCTTGAAAACAGGGTCATCTGGTAAATGCTTTTCAGCAAATTCTCTTTGACATGTATATCTAGGATCTGTTATTCTCAGCACAGCATGGCCATATCCCGGTACTACTTGACCAGACTTTAACGTTTTCCAAACAAAATCTTTAAGTCTCTTTTCGTCTGGATCGTCTCCAAGTTTTTCTCGTAATCTGTTTATCCATACCAATACTTCTTGATTGGCCAGACCGTGTAATGGTCCAGCTAATGCATTCATTCCAGCAGCAAAAGATATGAATGGGTCACTAAGGGTGGAACCGACTAAATGAATGGTATGAGCTGAAGCATTGCCACCTTCATGATCACAGTGAATTGTTAAATATAGTCTCATGAGTTCAGCAAACTGTGGATCTGAGTAACCCATCATTGTCATTAAATTATAACTCCAATCTTTACTTGGATCTATTTCCACGCAACCACAATCTTCGCTTCTAAATGAGTGATTGTAAATTTTAGCTGCTATTACAGGGAGTTTTGCAAGTAGATCCATGCAATCTTCGTATACATATTCCCAATATACTGTCTTTTTTACCCCACTGGCATACGCCTTTTGGAATTTGCTTTCAGCGCTTAATATTGTGACGGCTGCTGATAACTGTGCCATTGGATGTACAGTTTTCGACATTGTATCCATTGATTTAACAACATGACTTGGTAGTTTTGCCCTCTTTGCCCATTCTTTCGATAACCAGTTAACTTGTTCTTGCGTTGGTACATCCCCCGTCAACATGAGCCAGAAAATACCCTCAGGAAGTGGTTCTTTTCCACCTGGAGCCTTAGGTAATCGCTTTTGACAGTCTGGTATTGTAAGGCCGCGAAATCTAATACCCTCATTGGGGTCAAGAAGAGATGTTTCATAAACCATAGATCTAATTCCTCTCATGCCATTATACATCTGCCCAAGTTCAACGTCCATTATTTTAGATTTTCCCTTATCCTTCCTAAACTGTTTTATGAGCGCTGCATGTTTTGGAATTTTTTGTGCTATGATACCTTTTAAATCAGTATTTGAAGCCGAACATTTACTGAGAGCTTTTTGCACTGCTACTCTTGTACTCATTATTTATAATGTATAATTATAATCTTTAAATAAACATAAAATCATGTATATATCTTGACATTTGCAGAAAAAACTATTAGTGTCAAAATTAATATCAATCACATACTTTGATTTTCTTTTTGCTATACGGAGAATGGTCGCACTGCGCAGCTTTCTGAGTGTCTTTTAAAAGGAGATAGAAAACTCCGCCATTTTGATCCCTTATTACGTGTTGCCTACATCTTGGCGCAATATTTTTAATAGGTGCATTTTAATCATCTGCTTCTGCTACGGAATTGTCGGTTTTCTTGTTTTAATCTGACAGGTTAAAACGACTAAACCGACATACCGACAATTCCGGAAGCAGAAGCGGATGATTAAAATGCACCTGATCAGAGATAAGGGACATAAAGATTTGAAACGTAACGACCGCAGCAACTATGGCGTCATCTAGCGTCTCAGATGTTAACTACAGGTCTACGTCGTTTGTAGAGATACCATTGTTGCCAAATATTTTTTTTTTTAGAGATCGTACAAGTAGAGTAGAAAAATAGTATTTCGACAAAAAAATTGTACAATAGATACATGAATAATATAATTTAAATGGAATGAAAAAAATAAAAACAATTGGACATGATAATTATAAAAATGTTTACAACGAAAAAAAAAAAACGTGTGGCACTCGGGGCCTGCCACGGTAAAGCTATTGCATAGCATTTTTATCAACTTATGCAATTATAATTATTTATTTATTTTATTTATTCAGTATTTTTTTTTTATATTAATTCAACTTTTTTCTTTGATATTAATTCAAGTTACACTTTTTGAGCGTGGTGACCAATAAATTGAATAAATGAGAAGTTAATATTGTTTAAAATATTTTTAATTTCTTACAATACATGTAGGTTATTCAGTTATTTTTATTATTGACACTAGAGGTTTATAAAATAATTTTTTTTAAACACTTTTCTCAGGATAGGGATTGGCACAGGTGCAATTTGGTAAAGTACAATGTTGTTACATGTCTTTGGAGCATATTTCATGTCGTTATCAGATGACGGTCGAAATTTGCAGTGGACTCTTGGGCTAAAAGGTACTAAATACTGCATTTGTGATAATAATAAAATGTATGTACATAGAGTACTCACTCATTTTCTTTAATTATTTTTTCATCATTTTCTTCATTATTAAATGCACTTTGTTTATTCATATTTAAAACACTTTATACACAAATTTTACGCGTACAGCTATTCACTGTTGTACATAGATGACATACACGTACTTAGATTTGGATAGTGTAGATAGCAAGTTGGTGGTTCGAGCCCCGAAACTTTTAGTTTTGTTTTTATCTTAAAAAAAAGGAAAAATATTATTGTTTTATTATTTTACAGTCTTGGTAATTTAAAATGTTTAGTTTTTAAAAGGTATATACTTATTCAGTGATTTTCCACAGTGTGATAGTCGCACTCGGCTTGTGCTTCGTGCGACAATATTTCCCACTCGTGTGAAAAATGTCACTTTCCACACTTGTAATGTAATATACTATTCCTATTTTTTGAATTTAAATAAACGAAGTCTCCACTGGTAGCTTGCATTTTTAAAATTAGCTGAACTTGAAAGAACCTCGTTATGCGCCACTATGCATTGAATAAGTATATAATTTTTAAAAACTAAACATTTTAAATTACCAAGACTGTGAAATAATAAAACAATAATATTTTTCCTTTTTTTAAAAAAAAAAAAAAAAAACTAAAATTTTCGGGGCTCGAACCACCAACTTGTTACCCACACTATCCACATTACGACCACTGTACGTTTTGCACCACCGAGGTCATATTTGGAATCGCTTATAATAATATATAACAATTTATTACAAATATTTACGAAAAATTTTATCATGTCAAATGATACCTATATTGTAATTTAATGGAATCACATAAATATATGATTTAAAAACTATAAAAGTATCATTATTACTTAATTGTAATAATTTTTAATCTTGAGAGATTAAAAGTTTAAACATAAGTCATCTAAATAAATGCATTTTTTTATTATACTCCGAAATATGAATTTAAAATCTCTTTCTACAGTAAATAAGACTTATTTTAATGTTGGCCGACAATTAAACCCTCTCAAAAGTGTCTGCCTAAATTACTAGTATTTTTAGAATTACCTAAACTTTTAATTGTCGGGAACATTTGTGATACCAATTTATTAGAAGCTCTTCTAGTTCTTGTATTGCACAAATGTTCCAGTCCGCAGACGTATATTTAACTTCGCTTCATACTAAAACGAATAGGGTCGGATATAACATTCCATGGCTTTAACGTCACACTGCTGTGCCGGTCGGAGTGGGGGGTGTTAGGTTTATTTTCGTTACGGTGTTACGAAATTTCTTGATTCGGTCGCCACTCAAAGCCCGCGATAAAAGCTATTCAATAGCCAAAGAGGTTAGAAAGGGTAGAGGTAACATAGGAAGCATTTGTCGCTGCGCGAATTTTGCCAAAACCGAAAAACTGGGTGGAAGGAGTAGGGAGATGTTCTGGGCCGGACTTAAATATTTGTATTGTAGTACCTAATTTTGGTGGGTAACTAAAAGATGAAAAATTATGAGACGTTTTTTTGACTTTATTTGTTAGCACGATTTATGTAAGATGAGGGCAATAACACTTTATAAATATATAACTAGCTAAGGGCCGATTCCACCGTTGTGTCAAACGAAGTTTAAATTATTAAACGAAGATTAAAACGACATTGTTTATGTAAAAATGTCATTTTAAACTCCATTTAGTGATTTAAACTTCGTTTTTGTTAATACAAAAATGTCATTTTTTTCTTTGTTTATTATTTTAAACTTCGTTTAACAAAACGGTGAAATCTACCCTAAGTAAAAGTTTATAAAATTATTGCAACAAAATAGCTGTTGAGACAAAAAGTTATCGAAACAGCTCGAATTACACACAAGATTTTTTCTACGATCACATCAAAATAAAATAAATAATTAAATTTTATTAGAAATGGGTTACCTTTTTGTTCGTTATAATATTTTAAGTTTATTTGACATAGGCCTACTCTTCGAAGAGGAAAAATGTTTTTGTACTTATGTGCCGGTAATTATTTATGATTTAATTATTTACGGAGAATACCGTTCAATGAATTAAAATATTAGGAAGTCAATTAATAGTTATTTATGTAACCAGTTTCGAAATACCTTATTTTGTGTAACGAGTAAATATTTCTTCTAATTTTGACTTGATTATTTATAAAATTGTGTTAAAAATGATTCACCATCAATTTTCTGTAGGTACTTTTAATCAAATATTTAAGAATTGTTTATTGTAGTTGATTGCTCTACGACGTTTTTTTTTTTTTTTCAATAGTAATAATAAAAATAAGGAACATGTGCAGTGTTTTCGATCTAATTTTTGACATTACCCGCGAGAAATTAAAAAAAAAACATTTTTACCCATTATCCTTAAAGGAGTACGTCAAAATTTTACCCCCAACATTTCTGGGCAGTTTTCAATAACGGTGTTATTTTAAAAATAAAATGCAATTTACAGCTTTTCTTTTTTGTTGTTAAACGTAATGTCATATTTTCAAATGTGAAATGTCACTATTCATTGCCTTTTTTTTCGATATTTGGTTTTTCGATTTTTCGTTTTTTGGATTTTTAAATTTTTGGATTTTTTATTTTTCGATTTTTAGATTTTTAGATTTTTAGATTTTTAGATTTTTAGATTTTTAGATTTTTAGATTTTTAGATTTTTAGATTTTTAGATTTTAGATTTTTAGATTTTAGATTTTTAGATTTTTAGATTTTTAGATTTTTAGATTTTTAGATTTTTAGATTTTTAGATTTTTAGATTTTTAGATTTTTAGATTTTTAGATTTTTAGATTTTAGATTTTTAGATTTTTAGATTTTTAGATTTTTAGATTTTTAGATTTATTTAGATTTTTAGATTTTTAGATTTTTAGATTTTTAGATTTTTAGATTTTTAGATTTTTAGATTTTAGATTTTAGATTTTTAGATTTTTAGATTTTTAGATTTTTAGATTTTTAGATTTTTAGATTTTTAGATTTTTAGATTTTTAGATTTTTAGATTTTTAGATTTTTTAGATTTTTAGATTTTTAGATTTTTAGATTTTTAGATTTTTAGATTTTTAGATTTTTAGATTTTTAGATTTTTAGATTTTTAGATTTTTAGATTTTTAGATTTTTAGATTTTTAGATTTTTAGATTTTAGATTTTTAGATTTTTAGATTTTTAGATTTTTAGATTTTTAGATTTTTAGATTTTTAGATTTTTAGATTTTTAGATTTTTAGATTTTTAGATTTTTAGATTTTTAGATTTTTAGATTTTTAGATTTTTAGATTTTTAGATTTTTAGATTTTTAGATTTTAGATTTAGATTTTAGATTTTTAGATTTTTAGATTTTTAGATTTTTAGATTTTAGATTTTTAGATTTTTAGATTTTTAGATTTTTAGATTTTTAGATTTTTAGATTTTTAGATTTTTAGATTTTTAGATTTTTAGATTTTAGATTTTTAGATTTTAGTTTTAGATTTTTAGATTTTTAGATTTTTAGATTTTTAGATTTTTAGATTTTTAGATTTTTAGATTTTTAGATTTTTAGATTTTAGATTTTTAGATTTTTAGATTTTTTAGATTTTTAGATTTTTAGATTTTTAGATTTTTAGATTTTTAGATTTTTAGATTTTTAGATTTTTAGATTTTAGATTTTTAGATTTTTAGATTTTTAGATTTTTAGATTTTTAGATTTTTAGATTTTTAGATTTTTAGATTTTTAGATTTTTAGATTTTTAGATTTTTAGATTTTTAGATTTTTAGATTTTTAGATTTTTAGATTTTTAGATTTTTAGATTTTTAGATTTTTAGATTTTTAGATTTTTAGATTTTTAGATTTTTAGATTTTTAGATTTTTAGATTTTAGATTTTTAGATTTTTAGATTTTAGTTTAGATTTTTAGATTTTTAGATTTTTAGATTTTTAGATTTTTAGATTTTTAGATTTTTAGATTTTTAGATTTTTAGATTTTTAGATTTTTAGATTTTTAGATTTTTAGATTTTAGATTTTTAGATTTTTAGATTTTAGATTTTTAGATTTTTAGATTTTTA